CTGGGAAAAACGGAAAATCTGACCCTTTGAAAAATTGAAAAAAAAAACTTCTACAGTTTTGACTTTTTCCACATACTTTTGATAGTTCTGAATAGCCCGTCGCTTAAATAGTTGGAATCAACGTTCACCCGGCTAAAAAATTCGATTTTGGTGAAAGTCGACTTTCCCCCTGAAAAAATCCAAGATCTGACCCCTTTGGGTCCGGGTGAAAAATTTTTTTTTTCAGTTTTCACTTTTTCCACATACTTTTGAGAGTTCTGAATAGCCCGTCGCTTAAATAGTTGGAATCAACGTTCACCCGGCAAGAAAATTCGATTTTGGCAAAAAAATCCAAGATCTGACACTTTGATCCTTGTGACCCTTGTGACCCTTGGACCGACTTTCCCTCCGGAAAAATCCAAGATCCGACACTTTGACCTCCGGTGAAAAAAAAAATTTTTCAGTTTTCACTTTTTCCACATACTTTTGAGAGTTCTGAATAGCCCGTCGCTTAAATAGTTGGAATCAACGTTCACCCGGCTAAAAAATTCGATTTTGGCGAAAGTCGACTTTCCCCAGGGAAAAACCGAAAATCTAACCCTTTGGCTCCGGGTGAAAAACAATTTTTTTTATTTTCACTTTTCCCACATACTTTTGAGAGTTCTGAATAGCCCGTCGCTTTGACCGACTAAAATAGGACTGAATGAAGAACAAACTTGCCTGGTCTTAGAAAATTTAGCGGATTTCCATGCGGCATCGATTGCTTTGTATGAGCAGGTAATTACACGGAGAGAAATGTTCAGTAAAAATTACGGAACTCACAATTCGCTCAGCGATTATGGAATCGACTCAGAAAATTTAAGTGACGGTATCGTAATTTTTCACAGGAGATTCAGATAACAATGACGGAACGCTCTGGAAAAATTCCGTGGCAGTTCCATAAATTTTCCGACAACCACATTTCACTTCGGAATTACGAAAAAGATGCGTAATTGTTATTGAATATTTCTCTCCGTGTACGTATGAATAATAGTATATTTCTAACCTAGGGAGGAAAAATAAAGGATCCTCAGCCGCCAGTGCAATTACCAGCCGAGCCGAAGGCGAGGTGAAAAACAATCGGGTGCTCGCACTCGTTGCGGCTCTCGTTACGTGGCCAATATTTTTGAAAGATGAAGAGGAGTTGAGACTATTGAAGAACTTAGACATAACTCCGGAGGATCCAAAGCAGATCCTCTCAGATATCCGCACGGTAAAAAAGTCATGGAAAAGATCCTTCCAATACTTGACGAACGAGACTACTTGGATTAGATTATTTCTGTGATCGTGATTTGGTCAGGTCTGAACATTCTACCCGACTTCGAGTGGAACTCGGGATTACTTGCATAGGAGTCAATAAATGTATTAACTGTATAAAGAATGCATGTTTGGACCGAAGATACACATGTTCTCCCTGTAACTAATAAAAAAAGTTAGTTGTTGAAATTCACCAACTAATTGTTGAAAAGTGGATTACCAATCTGTTACTGAATTTTAACAGCTAGTTGTTGCATTTCACCAATTATTTGATGAAATTTAACTACTAAATAATTAAAATATTGAAAAGATTTTTCACTTTCATTCTACAACCATTTGTTAAATTTTCGATAAATATTCGTTAATTTTTTTAATGGATTAAATTTAACAGCAAACTGTAGATTGCGATATCTTCTAGGCGAAACATTGGTCGATTATTAAGATACAAATGATTGCGGAATTGTTTCCCAATTAATATTTACCCTTACCATTTAGTTTGCTAATCAAAATTGATTAAATTTAGGGAATTAGAGGTTCACCCACTGATTGGTAATTCATTTTTTTAATGGCCCCAAAATCGAAATCGAGAATTTTATATTTTCACGTCTCGCGACCTCTAGAAACTTTCAATGAAGTTCTCAGAAGAATTTGGGTATGTGTGTGTATGTTCGTGAGTGCGAGTGTGAAAGAGAGAGAGAGAGAAAGCTTGCCCGACGATTTTTCAAGAGCGAAGGGATCGATTGAATTTTTCTCAGGCAATCGATATACGTCCATGCAACTTGGAGCTGAGATTAGGTTATGAACAACATTATCCCACTATCCTGATTTAGACTAAACAATATCCCCAAAAAACCTCAAAATTCCGAAAGGTTTGATCCTCCAAATGAACCCATAGATCTCAACGCATTAGAATGCACAGTAGCGACTTTCTAAACGACAACTGAACCAGAAGCAGTGACGTTGATTTATAGTAGGGCAGTAAAGCAGTAGGTAAAGAGATCCCGGGGCGCATCGACTTGGTAACCTACATCGTGAACATTGGAAATTGTTGTGGCAAGCCTCGATGGGTGGTTTTCTGCTCGTCCAGTTTCAAGGATAAAGATGGCGGTGCGAGAGGAGGATGCAACTTTCTTCTGGTATTCTGGACGCTAGAATTTCACTTCTACCTCCAGAAAGTGTATCTCCGGTAGAGTAAGAAGCAATTTATGTACCGAGAGATGGTGGGGGGAAAACACAAATCCCTCGAGTTAAAGTCAGTCACTGAGTCAGTCGGGCTTTGGCCACGAGGTTGTAAATCAAAATTCACGTTTGCCAAAAGTACGCACCCCCCTCCTGTGGGGCACCACTGGTTACTGGGGCGTAAAAGGTGAATACGAGTGCATGGACCTACTGTGTAAATCGGGAGGAACCCAAAAATATCCAGTAGCCAGATTTTCTTGGTTTTAAGTGAAAGAACGTTTTGCCCACCAACAGGGGTGTCTGCTATAATGGAGCTGTGGAGAGCCAAGAGGTGAAGATGGGAAAGTTTTTGGGGGAGAACATGTAGCCCATGGTATCCGGGTTACTCGGTCGTCAATGCCCTATGTAAAAATTCAGTAGCTGGGGACAATTAGTCACGGAGGAGACGAATTGCCTCTTGTTGGGAGATCCAGTCCTCAGGAAAACCCCATTTTCACTTTTGGAGATGTAGGTCTTAGGGACTGTATTAAGAACGATTGATTTTTAAAAGATAAAAAACTACTTTTTGTTAGTTTCTTTAATGTGAACTGATTGTTTTCATTGTCAAATAGGTCTTACTGTAAATATCAGCGATGAAGGGGGATATGATGATCAGGAGGAAAATAATAAGGCAAAAACTGTGTGGGGATAGGCAATTCTATATGGGAATAGCCAGGACAAAATTTCTCTCGGGGAGAATAAAATTTGTACTCAATATCACAATTTTATTGTTCATCCCTTATTTCAACTTGAACTTTAGAAGAGTTTTGGGGAGAAAGTGACATACTATACAGTCTTATAAACCGATAGGACAGTTTTTACCAATTTTTCCTCTCCCTGTCACGTATGAAAAAATTCAATAGAAAAATATAGCGAATTTGCTAGAAAATTCTATTGGAATTCTCTAAAATTCTATTGTGATTTTATTAAAATTGTAGGGAGTTCTCGCGAAAATTCTGTTTTTTTTTTGCGCTGATTTTACAAGATATTTGATAGGAAAAAGTCGATAGATTTCGATTTTTCTATATGAATATTCTTTTGGAATCTTTTCGATGAGAATACTTGGGCATGAATTTTCCAAGTTTTTTTTTTACTCGGATCGTGCAATGCAAAACAAAATAGAATATAGCGGAAAAAAATTTGGCGAATTCGCGCCCAATAGTTTCAATAGAAAAAATCTCAAGAGAAAAATTCAAACAGAAAAATCGAAATCTATTGACTTTTTTCTATCAAATATCTAATAGAATCTGCGCAAAAAGCAAATGGAATTTTGACGGGAATTCTCTCGAATTTCAAGAGAATCCCCGTAGAATTTCTTGAGAATTCTAATAGAACTTTCTAGCGAATTCCAATAGAATTTTCCAGTGAATTCGCTAAGTTTTTCTGTTGAATTTTTCCGTATGTCGTATATCATGAAAATTAAAAACAATTATGGTTATTCGTTTGTGTGGAAATTTCCAAAAAAAGTTTGACATTCCATGCTCAATTCCTTCCGAAGGCTTCCCTAATCTTTTTATTCATAATTTCTTTCATTTTTGTTCTCAACCTCAAGATTAATCTCAAAATACAAAAGCGATTTCTGTAGTGAAAAACTGGAAATTTCATCATCTGAAATTTAAAATCGAGTCTTCTCATTTCAAAGAATGAAAGAACGAGCATAAATCTTTACAAGAATTTTTTGTAAAGTCGCACTGTATCGAATTTCAACTGTTGAATGAGTTCACGTAATCCCGTGATTTGTCAGGTGCGTCAGTCATTGATGTGCCAGACGCGACTGATGACGATCCGTCATCATTTTCCCACTGAATAGCCTCTGCTCCTCGGACTGATCCTGGGGGTGGTCGTCTCAGATTGATAAATTTCAACCAGAATTTTCCCACTGGGAAATGTGGAGACAAATGGCAACGTGATATACGAAGGGTTAGTGGAAGAAAAGAACACAATCTCCAAGAAGTAAAAAAATTCTTTGAAGTTTGAGACTATCCGAAACTCCTCGGATACACACAAAAAAAAAATTAATAGAGACTTTCGGGTAATTTTCTTCTATTCGGATCACGCTTCGAGTATCTCCATTTCAATGAGCCAATTCATGCAATGATGAATACAATGAAACGGGAGCAATGAGACTATTTACTTGCGGACAATACGAAAAACAGTCGTAACAGTGTGCCCACACGAATTATTGTGAATAAAAATTCCAGAATGTTATATTCGATAAAAGGAAGTAGTGCATTTAGACAAAGAATTTACACAGCACACCCAGGGTGACAAATAGCAGTCAATTCAAGTTGCCGACTGCATGAAAGCCCGCACTCCCCTTTTCGATAAAAGTGGCATTCATATTCCCAAAAAATCGTTGAAATTGTTTTCGATAATCTCCCCCTATATATAGGGGTGTATTTACTTGAGGTATGAGAAATCGGTGGATACGAGAGGAGAGTATTTTGGTTCAGTTTCGGAGGTCAACAATGTACCCGTGGGATCTGTAGGTGTATTTAGGGCCATTCTGCTTCCGTCATTTCAACGCGATTGAGTGAATTAGGGGGTAAACACCCGACAAAGGACCGACAGTCGACGCCGGAACGGATGTCAATGGATGCGGGTTAAATGTATATGATGTATCGGAGGCGTAACGAGGTAGTTTTGGTTTCTTACTCGATTACTAATTAATTAGTGAAGATCGATCCGCTGCTTGTTAAATGTGATCTATTGCAAAGTGGAGAAGGAGGGCTGAAGAGGGCACACAGTACAAAATTGTGAGTGAATTTCAATTATGAGTCCACGTCAAAATGTACTTTTGAAATTTCGAGGGAAAAATTTTCCACTGTTCGCGATTTCAATAAAAATTCTCAACGATAGCTCATTTACATGGAATTCTCATATACACTGTTGGAAAAAAACAGAAATTTCAGGTTTCACTGAAAATTCAGTAAAATTCCAGGATTTTAAGCTTCATAAAGACGAGAATTTCTTAATTTATTTGAATTTCCAATCTAATATGCATATTCAGTGCCAAATTACATTGAATTTTCAGTGAAATTTGAAATTCCATGATTTTTTTCATTTAAATAGCATTCAGTGTCACTGTCCTGAAAATTCAAGAATTTATATACTGAAATTTTTTGGTTTTCTCTTTATTTTCAGAGAAAAATGGAACTGAAATTCACTGTTCTTTGATTTTTCCACAAAATTTTAAATTTTCAATGACTCAATTCCTCAAAATTTCAGTGGCAATTAAATTCGATGAAAATTTTCAAAAAGTGTGTTCAAAAATGTTTCAAGAATTCAAGTTATTGTTGAAATATCTATTTTGGGGAAAACCTAAGATCAATAAAAAATTCCATGAGAACGATTTGAACTTAAATCGCATTGGAATCGTTAAATGCAAGGTAATGTAATGTGGCTGCATGTGCAGCCGTTAAATTAATTACAAAAACAATTCCACAGCGTACTATGAATAATTTGAAATGGAATGAATCCGTAGTGTCCACTACACAAATCTCGGTCTCATGAAAATAAAAATTTAAATGATTGCGGTTGAATATTTTCTGAAGGGCGCATAATAAATGTTACTGTCGCATACAGCAATCGTTCTAGAGATATCGACAAAAAATCTAAGTGTTTCCATAATTATTTTGGGAATTATCCCTGTCAATTGTATTATAAATACAAGATTATAAATTACCTCGCTCTTCATTTTGCCTTATTAACCCTCTCATTCACTCTAACGCTTTCATTTTTTCATTTCTAACGATTTATTGAACCAAAAAACGTAGAATGAAGGAAGGAATGACCGTCTGAGAATCATGTCAATCGATTTATTGACTCACATAACTAACTTTATTATTACCGCACTAGAGAGGAAAATAATTCAGAATTTTTCTTGCTCGTTAACTTTATTCTCCCCTTATAAAATAGTACAATACCGACCCTCTTTGGAATGACTGTAATAACAAAAATATTTCTTTATTACGGTTATACAATCGTGCCGCTTCCAACAGTAAAATCACTCGTATTGTGAATTTGTGGCCAACACAACATTGAACGTTCACCAATTTTCAGGGACATTCCCATTGACACTCCCCAGTCCTCA